TAACCAGCAGTCTGATGTTCCAGGAGAGGGCACGGATGTACCAGAACGGGTGTAGATTTTCCGGGGGTCTGAACCCACATAACACCCGCTGGGTGATGTCCCAGGGAGTGGCTGCGGGGAATCCTGTAGGCCCTGGGGGAGGAAATAGCTCCTATGGATCCTCCCACCACCCCGATGTGCTCACTGCCTCTGGCGGGAGTGGGGAACTGACAGTTCCCTCAGTAGGAAGAAATGTCTTCCTAAGAGGAAAAATATAGCAAAAGAATTGATCTTTATGTTCAAAACTGTATGCTTTGGGTCACTCCTGAATAAGAACTCTCCTTAGGTTAAGCCTGTGCTGTGAAGTCGGCATCCCATATGGGCGCCAGTGTGAAACCCGGCTGATCCACTTCTGAGCCAGCTCCCTGCTGGTAGCCTGGGAAAGCAAAGAAGATGACCCAAGTACTTGGGCCCCTGCACCCACGTGGATACCCGGAAGATGCTCCAGGCTCCTGGCTTTGGCCTGGCCCAGCCCTGGCTGTTGAGGCCATTTGGGGCGGCAACTTAGTCCACTGCACCATAACACTGGCCCTGAAAGTAAAGTCACTTCTACAAGGACGGTATCCTCCTATAATGTTATGTAACAGGTGTTGGCGGTATGCGGAGAATCTGGAACTCTCATTATCATTGGCGGAGTTATAAAATGACACAGCCCCTGAAGAGAACTGTTTGGTTGTCCCTCAAAACACTAAACACAGAATTAGCATACAACCTAGAAATGCCACTTCTAAGCATACACGCAAAGAATGTAAAACAGGGACTCAGAAAGATGCTGGCATGCAAATAAATATTCCAAGGTTAAATGTGGAAATAAGCTAGGTGCCCATCAACAGATGAATGGCAGACAGATACGGTGTACACAGAAGGTTAATCAGTCATGAAAAAGGATGGAGAACCTACACAGGGACCGTGGAAACATTGTGCTAAGTGGAAAAAGCCAGAACTAAAGTGCTGTGTTAGTCCACTTATATGCAACATGTCAACAGCAAATGCGCGGGGGGAAGTAGATGAGACTATGGGAGGTGGAGGGCACCTGAGGACTGGGCAGTTCCTGCTTAGTGGACACAGTTTCTACCTCAGATGATGAGCATTTTCCGGAAAAGAATTGGTGGTGATGGTTATTCAACATGGTGAATGTAATTAATGCCATTTAGCTCTGAATATGGTTCAAATGGCATGTTTTATGTCATATATATCTTACCACAATTTTTAAAGAGTCACATAAAAGAAAACCACCATGGGAATCACACCCACCGAGGGCACAGAGGCCTCACTACACTCATATGCAGATTTCTTATGGCTCCTCTGCAGAGAAACCTGAGGGCTTAGAGACATGAGGTTGACCAGTTGTGCAAATTCCATGCATTGGCACAGAGACTGAGGGCTAAGCCAGAGGCACAGGCCACTGCACACCCAGGACACAGACTCTGTCAGTGGGTTCTCACTTCCTCTGCCCTGGCCCCGTCTAGACCTAGTCGTGGGGCTGGGAAAGGGGAGGTTATGAGCCTGTCCCCTGGACACTGTGAGGTCTCACCCTCTACACAGCCCTGGCCATCTGGGCCTTGTAAGGGGGACCTTAGGATGGGCTTAGGGGTAACAAAGAGAATCAGCTACAGAGAGGAACACAGAGCTTGGGGAACTGGTCAAGGACACTGAGTCAGCTCACAGGTCCAGCCCACACTGGGCCATGCCCCTTGGGATCCGGGCACCTCTGGGCCATGGCTCCCCACCATGGTCCTTCCAGGTGCAACACTGGCTAGAAAGTGCAGCACCATGGAGAGCAGCAATGTGGGCTTCACCTGTTCTCTCTCACGGGGCTCAGGGTTCACAACAAACAGCAGAGGCCAGGGAGGCCAGAGACGGTGAGGGGCTGTGACATCACGTGCAGCCGCCTGGAACAGGAGCAGGTGGGACACTGGCTGAGGCAGCCAGCTGGGGTCCAGGAGAAGGTGGTGCAGGAGAGAAAACCCAGGAATGGGTGGGAGAGGAGGGCAACTGGCTTTGTGGTGCACCCAGCGTGGGTTGTGGGTGTGCAGCTGTCTCGGGACCAGGGGCCTGGGTCTCTGTGGGCCTCTCCAACACAATGGATGGAGAGGCCCACAGAGACCTAGGCCACTGTGGAGAGAACATGTGAGAGTTCACCATGGGCACGGGGGGCACCTGAGGCCAGGTCCGGCCAAACAGGAAGGAACCACCCCTGACCCGGGACACAGAGAGTGTGTGCTATCTCCAGAGTCAGGGTCCCCTGTCTTGGACCCCAGGCACTGGGATTGAGAAGTGGGGTGGACTTGTGAGTCCTTGTCTCCCGACACACGGCTTCCGGCTTCCCCCTCAGATCCCCGCTAAGTGCTCAGCATCAGACACCGCTGCCACCAGGGGGCGCACACACAGTGTAATCTGCAGACAAAGCGACAGACGGTCACAGCAATCTGGGCTGGGGAGGTCTCACTGAGGAGAGAGGGAGGATAATGTGCCTGTAGCAACAGAGACTGAACAGGTATATGACGGGACATCGTCACCATACGTGACCCACTGGAAACCTGTGCAGAATGACTGAATAAAACAAGCGGCCTGACACGGCGCCTCTGCCGTCTGCACTTTCCGCACTAGCCACCAGGGGGCGGCAATGTCCCACAGCCTGGAGCCTCAGTAGGGCCCATGGTCTGGTCCTTCTCCAGCCAGAGCTGCCCCACACAGATTCTGTCAGCTCCTCCTTCCAGCCAGTGTCTGCCACCACACCCTCCTCCTTCCCAGGGGACATCCGCTCAGCTTCAGGTCTCACCAAAAGGACCCAGAAGTGTTCCCTGCGATGCCCAGAGCAGCTCGATGGCCAGTTACTGTCCCCTCCACCATGGCCCTCTTCTGTCACAGTTAACCACAGCTTCCATGATGTTCACCCAGTGCCTGTCTCCCCGAACAAGGGAGACTCCACGAGGCCAGAGATCACATCTCTCCTGCTCTCCGTGGGACACCCAGGGCCCAGCCCAAGGTCTGACATAACAAATCCGTCACAAACACTCATAAAATGGAAGGGGAACTCAGCAGAAGCACATCACCTCCATGTGACCCCTGAGGTCAGGGCATGGCCCTGTGGGCGCAGGGGCACTGGCCTCAGCCTAGGGGGAGGCCAGCAAGGGCCTGTGGCCGTCCTAGGGACAGGCTTTCACTCAGCATGGCTGGGGTGGCAGGGACCTCCTTACAGTGAGGGGTCGGAACCCAGCCTGTTCCCAGAATGCTGGCACCCCTCCCCCCAAAGGGCCTGCCACACCCTGGATGGATTTACACTGGGGAAGGACTGGGCCCCATCTGACCACAAAGGAAGTCAGGGGGTAAGACCCCAGCCCCGAGGGTCTCAGCTCTGTGGAGACACCTGGCTATGGTCCTCTACAGACGTGCCCACAGCCCAGGGAGTCCTGTGGAACTAGCACAATCTCCCACGCGGGACAGGACAGGGTAACCCAGGATCTGCTGTAGATTCCATCTCACAGGGGCTGAGGGGCCCCGAGTCCCCCTTCGCCTACTGGAGGAATCCACGGATGCCCTGGCTGAGTCGCCAGGTTGGAGCCGCTCCGGTTCCAGATCTGTGGGGAGGCCTGGAGCAGACGACAGAGACACAGGTGGCCCTGAGGCCACAGCCAGGACTGTGACGGAGGAAACACAGAGCATCCCGGGGGTCAGCTCCAAGATCACGGCCTCCTCCTTCAAGCGTCGAGAGTCACTTCTGAGCTTCCTTTGAAAGCTCGGGGACAGACAGCTCCTCCTGGGGGCAGAGCATCCCTGGGAGGACAGTTCTGATACTGGACCTCACGTCCTCTGGACAACTCCCATCCTCCCCCTGGGCTCACCCTGCACTGGCACGGAGTCCAAAAGCTCAGGAACACGCAGTCAACAGGGCCCTGGGTGACTCGACCCTGCCCTCTGGAAGTCATAGCCCACCGCTGTCCAGGGATCAGAGACAGCCCTTAGCGCCTCTGGTGTAGCCCCTGACATTGTCTGCAGGTCTCCTCATGCCCACCAGGGGGCAGCATCAGGATGCACAGACCACATTCAGGAAATTAATCCCCTGAGACCCACCCTGGATTTGACTCTGGAGGTGGACATGGAGCCCACTCCCATCCGTGGCTCCAACAGACCCTCAGGGTCCCTCCCATATGGCCGCTGTGTCCCACTCACTCCTTCCTATCCTCTGGGGACCCTGCTGTGCCAGGAGTCCCTGTGCAGCCCCCACTCCCTCCAGGCACCGCCCACGGGCAGGGTAACTCCAGGGGAATCATCTGGGTCTGGACAGCCAGGGAGGACATGGACAGTCTTGAGCTACAGCTCAACCAACACACAGAGGGAGAGAGGGGCTCCTGAAACCTACGGGGGACAACAGGGCCTGCGTCCACCCAACACCTTCTACTCAGTCACCTCTTCCCAGGACAGGGGGGACGCCTGCCACTGCATACCCAGAGCTGCAGTTCCTCCCGAGACACCTGCTCCTGGGTCCTGTCCCCGGGTCAGAGGCCAGCTGAGGACACCGAGATGGGCGGCATGTCCCCCTCGCTGGTCATCATGCAGGTGGCTCCTTTCCAGCTCCCAGAGTAAATCGCACTTTCCCAGAGCATTTGAGGACACAGGGAAGACCCTGATGCCCAGCTGCAGCTACGTCACCAAGAGAAGTAACCCAGCACGTCTGGGGACCCAGGGGCTTTCTGCGTGGTGCTGGGAGACCAGACCCAAAACCTGGTGTCCAGACCCAAAACCTGGTGCTGGGTGACCAGACCCAAAACCTGCAGAGGTTAAGTGGTGGGTTGTTCTCTCTGAGGTCAGGGGACCCCGGCATCCTTGCTTGTCAAAATGTGATCTGGGGAACCCAAACAGAGGGAAAGGGGAAGAGACAGGGAGGCGGGACTGAGAGGGGAGGGGACAGGGAGGTCTCCTGGGCAGAGACCCCGCCCCCAGCCCACGTGACCCTGGCAAGTGCCCCTGTCCCCAGAGGAGGCTCAGGGCAGAGGGAGGGAGGCCGGCAGAGCTGTGAGCAGCAGAGCTTGGGAGCATTTCTGGAGCCAAAGCTCCTCTCCAAGAGGCAGGGCAGAGCGGGCAGTGGACACCATGGAGCCCTCCTCGGCCCCTCCACGCAGAACGCGCGTCCCCCGGCTGGGGCTCCTGCTGGCAGGTGAGAGGGCGCGACTCCCTGGAGTGGGAGCTCAGGGAGAGGCTGGGGGCTCTGGGCAGGACAGAGCTCTGAGAGGGGACACGGGGCTTCCCTTTGGAGCTGGGGAGGGGAGGGGGGACCTCAGCCACAGGGAATGCAGTGAAGTGGGACTGGGAAGGGGCAGGAGAGCCCTTGCTTCTCTGTTTCCCTGGTTAATCATCACTGCCCACCTCATTTTGAAAGGCGGTGGTAACAACGGTTTCGGAGAGACGCTCCGAATAAAAGCACGCTGAGGTGTTAAACGTCATCCTCGACCACCAGCCCCAGAAGCTGACAAATTCACACCCGGACATGCAGGGCTCTGGGCGCAGTGGTCACCTCACCCCAGGTGTGTGCAGCCTGTTCCGGGCACGGGGCTGCTGCTCATGTCAGACACAGCCCTGACCTCACGGAGCTCCCACCCCACTGGGGAGGAGACAGACAAGCAGACATCTAGACAGTGGGGCCAGATGTTGACAGGAGCCATGGGGGGACCAGAGCAGGGGACGGTCAGAGTGATGACCCAGTCTCCAGAGGAGCTGGCCAGGGAAGGGGGCTCCCAGGATGCCCCTGACTGTGGGCAGGGGCCCAGGAGCAGACCCAAAGAAGGTGACAGGTTCAGAGGCACTGAAGGAATGGAGGTCACGCTGCTGGCCTTGACCCAGTAGGAGGCACAGCAGACAAACACACACACATTTACACACAGTGACACCCACACATACACACACTCATACACACAAATATACACACACTTACACATAAACACATATATACACCTGAATACATAAACACACAACATTCACACACACTCTCTCACACACACACACACCCCAAGGCTGAAGAGACCGGCTCAGGAGCCAGGGTCCCATCTTTCCACCCAACACGTAGGTCCCCCATTGCCTGATTTCTCCCTCTTCCCTCCCAGTCTCACTGCTAACTGCCTGGATCCCACCCACCACGGCCCAGCTCACTGTGGAACCTGTGCCACCCAATGCTGCTGAAGGGATGGATGTCCTTCTCCTCATCCATAATCTGACGTGGGATCCTCCAGCCTACCTCTGGTACAAGGCAGCAACAGCGGACCAAAATTTTCATATTGCAACGTATACGCCAAATCCTGAGCAAACTACTCCAGGGCCTGAGTACCATGAGGGAATCAGAATATTCCCCAACGGGTCCCTGCTGATTCAGAACGTCACCCTGGAGGACGCAGGAAACTACACCCTACAAGCCATGAATAACTTTTATATTCCTTCCGGAGCATCTACACAGTTCCGCGTGTACCGTGAGTGCTTGCTCTGTGGGTGCTGGGTGTCGGGTGGCTTTAGTTCGACTTCACACACGCAGGATCGTGTCTCCCCCTCTGCATCACGTCCGGTGCTGGGGTTTGAGCATCCATCTTTGGAAGACAAATTCCAAAGATCGGGATCCTTTCCAGAACACAGATCCTGTGGGCTTTAGCTGAGAGGGACAGACGGGGTGAGGGAACTCAGCAGAGCGGCAGCAGTCTGGCCCCCGGCCCCTCCCCAGGAACAGGGCCCTGAGAACAGCCCTGCAGGACTCGGTCAGCCTGGTCCATGGGACCCCTGGGGTCCTCCCTGAGACTCTCAGCCCCGGGAAGTCCCACCCAGGCCCCTGACTCAGGTGACCCTGTGGATCCTGGCCAGGCCAGGTGTTGGCCTCCTGGGCAGGGCTGATGGGAGCAAGGATTCACAGCTGCCGGAGCCCTGTGGTCCCGTGGTCACCAGCAGGGCTCAGCCCCAAGAGCTCCCTGTGGGCTGGGCAGAGCCAGGTCCCTCCCCTGAGACAGCGTGGAGAGCACAGGGCACGGTTTCCCAGCCATTCGCTGACCACCCTGGGCACTTAGGGGCTCAGCAGGAAGGTCACGGGCATCAGGTTCAGGGGCTCTGGGAGGCAAATGACAATAAATGCTGCTTACTCGGGCAGCTCCTCTGTGCCAAGCTGTAGGTAAGGTCCTCTGATGTATTTTTATTATTTTTTTTTTTTTTTGACAGGCAGAGTGGACAGTGAGAGAGACAAGAAAGAAAGGTCTTCCTTTACCGTTGG